TAAAAAAAATTTAAAGTTTTTTTTTTTTTTTTTTTTTTTTTTGTCTTTTCTTCAAAACCAAAATCAACATTTCCTTTAAACCTAGGGCTTCCCAGACTTTTAGGCGGACCTGTGGACACGTTTCCTCTCGCCACCGAATATTTAATTGATTTCTTTTTTACTTGATTTTACATTTGCCATAACATATTTGTTAAAATACGGAATCCGTCAATTCCATAGGAATCCATTTTTTTAAAAAATTATCATCTTTTAATGCTGGGCGTTGAAAGTCTTTTCTGTTTAAAAAAAATTTTTTTAATAATAATAATAATAAAAAAACAACAACAGTATTTGTAAATGTAATTTAAATCTTTAATGTTTATTTTTTTTTTTTTTAAATCTTAGAGAGAGAACGCTCCTTTTAACTAACATCAGAGGCGTAGAGTGGTAAGGGCAGAGGGGGACAGATGTCCCCGGGCGCCAGCTAATTAGGAGCGCCAAATGTGCTTTGATAATATTTTATTGAGGAAAATAATGGGTTTGAGAGTTGAAAAAAAGAAAAAGGGGCGCTAAAAATGGATCTTGTCCCCGTGCGCCAAACACCCTCGCTATGCCACTGGCTAACATTGACATAATGCGAAGTGTTGAACTAACTTATTATTGACAAGCGGATCTTTATCTTGACTCAATCGTAGACAGAGCTTCACGCAGCGTTTCTTTCAGACATCCCCCCCCCCGGAGGGATTTAAATTTTCGGGGGGCGGGGGGGGGCAGTGCCATTTTGCCAGTGGCGTAGCTACGGGGTGGCAGATGGGGTAAAATGGGCTTTGATGGTATTTAAAGGGTTGAAAATAATTAGTTTCAGAGAACTACAATTTTTTGTTTGTTTTAGAATTGTCAATCAAAATGCTAATTCCCATTTAGAAAATATTTTTTTTTTTTTAAATCTTATTGATTGTAATTTGTACTGTTTTGGGTGTCGTATTTTTGCTATTGTATTTCTCTATGGTATTGTCGTTATGCATTGTTTCAACGAGCCATACAATTAAAATAAGAGATTAAGTTCTCACAATAGAGGGTAGTGCGTAACACTTAGCAAGAACTACTATTAGAATTGTGGACCTTTATATCGATGTAAAGGTAATTAAATATAGTGGTATTAAAAATCTTTAAACTTGTGAAATAGCAAAAAGTAAATGAATAAAAATACCGATTGAGTTATGTGCGAAAAAGTAATAACTACATTGGTCAAGATGCTTAACTCTTGATAAATTAGTCATGGCTTCAGTTCCTTAAAACTTTTTTTTTTTTTTTAAATTTTAAAAATTCAAACTCGGTTATTACAACGAGATTGTATGAATCAACTTAATAAATAATGGTTTGTTTTTACTTCTCATGTATTTAAGTATCGTAATAAGAACTAATAAGTCATCGATTTGGCTAAGTGAATTCACTGAATGGCTGGTTTTTTTTACTAGTGAAATAATTAAATATAGATGTCTTGTGTTCAAATTGTTTTATTTATGTGCTTAAAATGTACATACAGTAAAAAAAATTCCATTTGTTTGGATCAATAAAGAATCTTATCTTATCTATTTAATTATATCTTTAGTCAAGAGAAATATTTCAAGCTCTCGATACAGGTGGATATTTTGAAAATTTTCGCCCCTTTTACCAAAACTATAAGAAATGTAAAAAAAATTGGTATGAAAGTAAGGCCCTTCTTTTAAAAAAAAAAAGTATTTTGTTTTCTTTCTTATTAAATTTTAAATCATTATTGGAAATTATACTGTCAAGGTGTGAGAACCACTTGGTTGTTTTTTTTTTTTGTTTTTTTTTTCATACATCGTACAATTTTAGCGCTTTAATCATGAGTCGGATAAAGGGATGCGTTTCCGTTTAAATGGCACATCATTCATATTTCAGGCTCTAACGAAACTATAACTCTACTTGGGCACAATTTATGATGACTTTTATTGTGTAATCTGTGCCACCTTATTGCTTAAGGATTTTTGTGTGTGTCCGCCTTCCACCACCC